ATTCAATATTTATATTATTATTTTTTTATAATGCTAACTTCATCATAGGGTACCGATATAAGGGCGTTGTAGGGGTGCTTAATACCTTCCCTACGCGTAATCGACCCCCGAACCCAATTCTGGTTATCAAGGCCATTATTGGACTTTTAAAAAACCTTTTCTTTTTCCAATGTTTTGAGTAAAACATTGGTGGTGACTCCAAGAACCTATTTTTTTCAAAACCATTAATTAAGGATTAGTCTGGTGTTCGGACATTCCTTAATTGATGAGATTTTCAAAAGGATGTCTAAACCATAGGTCACAAGATCAGAAATTTATGGGGCTGTGATAGGGAGCCTACAAAGATGATGACCTTCACCCTATAAGTGCTCGGGCAAGGAGGTCAACGGTTGCTACCTGACTTCATGGGTGCTTAATTCTTATCATTAAGCCTAAGATTTGTATATTCAAAATAGGAGAATATATTATCCATTAACAATAGGATATTGCCTATTAATGGAGTGATCCTCTTACCAATTAGGTGAAGATAATGTTTCTGGTAATGATAATTCAAGATCTCAGTTGATAATCATGCAAAAATATTTAGTTGTTAGGAGTTAACCACTTAGGATTTTGCTTTATGAGAGTAAGCAAGAAAAAGGGAAGCTTGGCCTATCCTAGTAAGGTGGAACAACAATATTCAACTTAGAGAATGATTCCTATTTAGGCTTCTAACTAGTATTTTTTTTTTTGTGTATTGCACAAGTTAAATATTTATTATATATTTTCAACTTGTCATTAGCTCCTTATCCAATAGTATTGGGTGTGTCATGTCTTATCTATTATTTTTTGTATAAAAATAAATATAATAAATTATGCATAAAAATAAATACTATATTTAAACATATAAATCATATTTACAATTTGTATAAACAAAAATCTTTAAACATAAATTATATTTTCAATTTAAGATAAATAATTTGTATTATGACATAAGATTATTTTTATTTATCAATAATTTATTTTAAAAAATTCAAATTTCAATTATAAATAAATATGAAAAATAAAAAAATGAATTGGTTAAAAATTTAAAATATTACTGTGATAAAATACTTCCTAAAATCATTATCGCACAAGATAGTTGTTCTCATTTAATATATAGGGAGTTGATAACTAAAATTTATAATAAGTTATGTGTACAAATAAATACAATGTTTGAATATATAAATTATATTTAAAATTTGTTCAAATAACTTTTTAAGCATATAAGTTATATTTTAGGTTTATGATAAATAATTTATATTCTAGTACAATAGTATTTTTCTTTATTGATACTTTATTTTAAAATATTGAAATTTAATTCATAAATAATTATGATAAGTAAAAATAAAAAATCGAATTAGATGAAAATTTAAAAGAATCCCTAGAAACTCTCTCATAAAAAAATCCTAAAAATGTTTTTATGCAAGATAATAGTTTGTGTTTAATATACACAAGTCAACTATTATAAAATTTATGAAATTGCAATAGATATGCAAATAATTCAATTTTTTTTAGAATTGATAACAAGATTCTATCTACTATTGATTAAAATTTATAAAAAATTATAAATTTTGTTAAGTATTACTTTTATATTAGAAAAGAGACTTGCTAGATCAAAATTGACACTCATTAAAAGTTTTGACTTCTAATAAATTTCTATCACCATAAATAGAATGTTAAAAAAAGTGTTGTCAATTGGCCCGACTAATCAACAGGTTCAAAAGGAAGAGATGAGATTTACATTGTTTAATTAAAACAAAGAGTTTGCTCAATGTAGGAGTAGAAGCCAAACCTTTTGGGTAATGCTACAAAACTAAAGAACTTTTTATATGAATATTTTTAAACGAAGGTAGTGTCATAAATTTTCATATCTCATAACTAATATAATTATTTACTCATTTTATTAAACAATCGCGTCATTCTATAAAGTCAAGCTAGAGGTAGAGATGACAAAATAAGTTAATTTATCTTAATTTAACCCATCTTTATTTCCTTTCACTTGTGAAAAACAAGGTAGGGTGGGATAACTCACTTGATAAAAACAAATTGAAAATCTTGATCTGTTCAATTGAGAGATAGGTTGATAAATTAACAAGTTGTTCTGTCAAAATAAAAAAAAATATTTTATTATTAATTCAAAATGACAAATTTTTTTACAACAATTAACAACCTTAATCAAATGATCAATGGCATAAATTTATCAATCTACTTAAAGACTACAAAACAAGATAATAAATTACAAATTACTAAAGAATTTCTTTTTTAATCAAAATTACTAATAATAATAACGATATAAATTATAATAGTTCTTAAAAACATAAGTACTAGTAATCTTTTAATAATAAATAAGAATACACCACAACAACAAATGATACACACCATAAGTTACCAAAATAATAAAAAGTAAATTTAAATTCCAAACCGCCATTTATCTTAGCGGGGCAGGCTCATTGGCTAAAATCTCCATCCTGACCCGCCATTTTTTTGTCAGCACGTGAATTGCAACCTACTTCACTCCTAACTAGAAATCACCTAAAAATGTTGTTAACTTCTCCTATTAATGTTCAACATGTATCTATATATAACAGTCAGATTAAGTAAATTTTTCCATAAACATTTTTATGTGAGAAAAATAATAAGAAAAAATAAATAAATTTTTTCATAAACTAAAATTATTTTATTTATAAGCTAATTTGTAAAAAAATTCTTATTACCGTTTCTAAAATATAATTTTTAACTCATACATAAATTAATTTGCGAAAAAAATTGTCTCAATTGTTTTTAAAAAAAAAGCTTTTAGAGAAAGTTTTCCGAGCCCTAAAAATGAAGGCGGCAAAACCACACCTGTACGTCATCCCTACAAATTTTTCCTCTTTACTTTTTTTAGCACAATAATATATATCACTTGGCTAACCGACCCCACACCAATATGCTCTCTTCCCGTTATTATTCGGAATCCTTATCCCCATGCTGTCAATTATTTTCCTGTAGGATTGAATTAAAATAACTCATATTTATCATCTAAGGACACATGTGCCATACGAAAGGGTAAGGGACACATCCCAAACATTAGGATCCCAAGATAAGGTTCTATCGTTCATGTACATGTGATCCAAAATATTTTCGGTGACATGACAAAACATTTTTTTAGTTATTGTCTTCTTCTCTATGCCTCGTAGACTTTAATTTCAATGTCTTGCTATTTGTCAAGAGAATGTGTTCACTATATACGTATCCAAATACATGTTCGCCTTTTTCAATACCGAAAACTCACATGAAAATAATTCTTTTATTATTGTTAGAAGATCTGATTTAACATATAGTGAGAGTGTAAAACTTTTCTACGTTTGTATATATCTAACGTTCTAAACGACTCTGATTAGTATAATAAGAGGGAAAAGGCAATTTTTTCTTAGCTTTTGGATGCTTCATTGATGCATCATGCGCGAATTATATATGCAACGCACGTGTCTTGAGAAATTTCGGAGCAACCCCATCGACCAAGTTAAGTATTGGGCTTCGGAGTCAAATTAGGCTGCTATGCATGATCAATATACCAACTAAATTTGTGTTCTGAATGTACCAACCGACGACAATCATTTTATTCCACTGTACTACATCAACCGGATAAATCCCACGAAGTTATTGGATTTAGTTAAAAATTAATATATTTAGGTAAAAAAGTACTAAAAAAATTAATGATTTTTAATAAAATCATTTAATATAAAAATATATACAATACTACAAGTTATATACACTACTACACGACACGTTATCTACATCGGTTCTAAAACTGATGTAGAATGGAGTGACTTAGTAAATATATATCATTTTACATCGTTTTTAAAATCGATGTTGAATAGTCATAAAATCTACATCAGTTCTTTGTATAACCGATGTAAATTTGTACATCAATCTATATTGGTTCTTATTAGACCCTCATTTACATCTGTTCGTCTCTTAACCGATGTAGATTATTTTTTTTTTGAAAAATTCGTTTGATTTTAGGTTCTTTCTAATTTATCCTGTAATAAAAACATATATAATTCTCTGCCATATTTTTGAAAATGTGCATGAAATTAAAAGATTAAACAAAACCCACAAACAAATCAAAATAGACAAAAAGAACAAATTCACTTACACAAAAAATACACTATATAGCATATGTAATTAATTTTAATTTTCATCTACAACTAAGGAAGAAAAATCCTGAAAATCAAGGTTATAAAACTTGTCCACCAAAATCACAATAACAAACCATATTAAAGCATGAAAGAACCCACTATGGCATGGTATTTGTTCCTAGGCAGCTATTATAAGCTATTTCACTTAAATCAACAATATATCCAACAACAATTCTAGTCCTAAAATTTATATGATCACTGTCATTCTTTTATGTGATCACCCTCATTCTTTTATACTACTATAATTTTAAAGAAAATAAGAGCAACAATAATTCCAGCCCTAAATGTAGCCAATTTCTCCAATCATCCAACATCAACCAGTTAAACTTGCAACAAAATCATGCTAAGGGGAATGCCAATAAAAAAAACGTAGATTGTAACCAAGAAAATCAGCCAAGTTAGTAGAACAACTTGATAAAATTGAACATCTAGTAGAATACCAAATCAAAAATAGAAATTAAAATTTGATATAGTACAAACATAATAATGAATAAGTATAGCAATACAACACCAAATCAACCAGAAATAAAAACTAAAATGTGATCTAACCCTCCACGTAACCAGAAACCAAAATGCAACATCGTCAAAAATCATGATCTATTTCTAAATATTTCTAAAAAGAACTTTGCCCATTGACTCTGAATGTCTTCCAATTTTGTTTTTGGCAATGGTGCAACATCGTCAAAAAGTTGTAACATACATCATGATATTAGTTACATCATAATCATTAAAAGAAATTAATCAATATTGTTAAAAATAAAAGAATTATATTACCTTGATCCAATCAGTTGTTACTTCCCCTTCAATTATGTCTAACATCCAATTCATCACGTAGTATCCACATTCATAATGTCCTTGTTGCATATTACTCTAAAATGGATATCAATTTGAGTTGTATAAATAATTTTTTAATTAAGATAATAAAAAGCAATTTTTAGGTATATTGAGGTAACAAACCACTTACCATGGGGTAAATCCAATCTAGGTTCTTTGGTTGTGCTGTAGATCTATCACTCATAACATTATACACAACCATAACACTAAAGAAAATAAATCTAGATAAGTTACATGATTAAAATTTATAATAGAGAGCATAAAGTTAATATTTGTTACAAATTAAAGTTTACCTTTTTATTAAATTTTTGAATTGTACATTGGGCTTACGATGCAAAGAACAAAACCAGATTGCAACATTGTTTGTAGGACAAAGAACCAAGAGCTGCCAATGATTTCTATATTGAGCCACAATTAGTTACACAACATATACATAAATTAAATGCAATTAACAAACATGCACTTACTGATCGACATAAGGAGCCAAGTAAATTTGCTTTGGTGAAGTTTTTATCCTTTCATTGATATAATTTTGAGACTCAGCTTTTTTATTCCCTGATTTTTGTATTGTTTAGGGCTCAAAAAATCCATACAAGTCACCATGCCCAAGCTCCTCAATTTTTTGATTCAAATATTTGAAATATATGCAAAAGAAAGAATAAATTATGAATGCATCATAGTTAAAAGGATAATGATACTAAGAATTGTGTACTTACAAAATCCATAATTGTATGATTGAGATGTTAAGCATTTCACGTTGTATTAATTCATATATATCTTGAAATGAAATATACAACTTAAAATCATGATTGTTGACACCAAATAGACTTGCAGGACATATCACCTAAAATGATTAGATTAGGTATAAGTAACAAAACTAAAATAAATATATCTTAAATACTCTTCATATTAGTTACACAAGTCACCTGAAATGGTTGGCCATAAAGTAAGAACTTTGACGCCTCACACAAGTTACTAATAAGATCACTATTAGGTTTCAACCTATCAGGAGGTGGTACTCATATGTTTTCTCCATCAATTCCCTATATAATGATCAAAAATCAAATATTGATATTAATAAGCAAAAATATGTATTGGTAAATAAAAATATTAATAATGAAAACCATAGGTTAAAAATATATACCGTGGTTGAAATATCTCTCACAAGATGTCTCGGCCATGAAATGAAAGTCTGTAGGGCCTGTCCAACCAATTGAACCTTTGAAGTAGGTACGAGAACTGGAGCATTAGAATCTCAAACTTGCCTAACAACCACCTTCACCAAATCATTTGTCAAAGGCACATGGTGTATGACTAAACACTCCTCATAAACTCTACCAATGGCCACTACACGAGGAGGAATCTCATCAACACATAACTCACATTGATTGGAGATATTAGCATGAGGCTCACTGTCGCCACCCGCCGAAACGGACATTGGCATTCGCGACGATGGTTGGACTCTTTTTAGTTTTGAAAAATGATGGATTGTTAGAACGACTTATTCTCAAACTGAGACCTCATCGAACTAACAATTTTGTTAAATAATTCTCACCAATCCGTATTAATCCCAAACGGGACCCTCCATGGATTAGTGGTTTTCGCAAAAAGGGGTTCTTGGAGTCGCCACCAATGTTTTACTCAAAACATTGGAAAAAGACATAAGGCAATTGATTTTCGCAAATCAACTTTGGCCATTACAACCAGAGTTTGGGTACCCTAGATGCAACTTGGTGGCCAAGGATGGAATCTTTGGGTTTAGATTGGCTATATCTAGGTGCATGATAAGACCATGCAACCTTTGCCCTCCACTTGGGCCTAAGCCTTTCTAACACCAAAAATAGACCCAATAGGCACCAAAAATATGTGTCACCCTCTAATTAACACCCTAGCCCAAAATTAAAAACCCTAATCATCTAGAGCACCCCATAATACAAGGGTAAAATGGGAAATACAAGGGAAAATAAATTCTAAGTCCTAAACACCCCAAAATACAAGGGTAAAATTGGAAATACAAGTAAAATAAATTCTATGACTAAAATACCCCAAAGTACAAGGGTAATTTTGGAATCAAAGATAAGGGAAAAAATAGGAATAAAAATAAATGCTATGCTAATAAGAACTTAGGAGCTAAGGTCCAAAAGTGGCCTCACTCCTCCTATGGTTTTTTTTCAACACTAACCCATTCCTTTTGCTTCCTTCAATACATCACCTCTTGGATTTCTTGGCCTTAGTGTTATTCCATCATCTACCACTCATAACATTATACACAACCATAACACTACAGAAAATAAATCCAGAAAAGTTACATGACTAAAATTTATAATAGAGAGCATAAAGTTAATACGTGTTACAAATTGAAATTTACCTTTTTATTAAATTTTTGAATTGTACATTGGGCTTATGATGCAAAGAACAAAACCAGATTGCAACATTGTTTGTAGGACAAAGAACCAAGAGCTTCCAATGATTTCTACATTGAGCCACAATTAGTTACACAACATATACATAAATTAAATGTAGTTAACAAACATGCACTTATTGATCGACATAAGGAGCCAAGTAAATTTGTTTTAGTGAAGTTTTTAGCCTTTCATTGATGTAAGTTTGAGACTCAGCTTTTTTATTCCCTGATTTTTTTTATTGTTTGGGGCTCAAAAAATCCATACAAGTCACCATGGCCAAGCTTTTCAATTTTTGATTCAAATATCAATATTATATACAAAAGAAAGAATTAATTATGAATGAATCATAGTTAAAAAGATAATGATACTAAGAATTGTGTACTTACAACATCCATAATTGTATGATTGAGATGTTAAGCATTTCACGTTGTATTAATTTATATATATCTTGAAATGAAATGTACAATGTAAAATCATGATTGTTAACACCAAATAGACTGGTAGGACATATCACCTGAAAAATTAGATTGGGTAAGTACCAAACCTAAAATAAAAATATGTTAAATACTCTTCATATTAGTTAGACAAGTCACCTGAAATGGTTGGCCATAAACTAAGGACTTTGACACCTCACGCAAGTCACTAATAGGATCACTATTGGGTTTCGACCTATCAACAAGTGGTACTTGTATATTTTCTCCATCAATACCCTATACAATAATCATAAATCAAATATTGATATTACTAAGAAAATATGTATTGGTAAATAAAAATATTAATAATGAAAATCATAGGTAAAAAATATATACCATGGCTGAAATATGTCTCACAAGATGTCTCGACCATGAAATGAAGGTCTGTAGAGCCTGTCCAACCAATTGAACCTCTAAAGCAGGTACGGGAACTAGAGCATTAGAATCTCGAACTTGCTCAACAACCACCTTGACCAAATCAATTGTCAAAGGCACATGGTGTATGGCTAACCTCCCCTCATAAACTCTACCAATGGCCATTACACGAGGAGGAATCCCATCAATGCATAACTCAGATTGATTGGAGATATCAGCATGAGGCTCACCCCCAAAGGGATTACCAGCAACAGTAGCACTTGAAGGAGTTGGACAACTGCCTTTAGTGCTAGCACGAGCCACAATAGCATGATCTACCTCAACTGGAGGAACATCCTGTGACTGTTGAGTACTCATATTTGAGTACTTTGACATTAAACTTTTTGTGACCAGTATATGTATTTGTTGTGTGAGGGCTTCAAAATCTTGGGGGCTCAATTTAGATAAGGATGAGCCTTTTGACAATGGTCCAAAGTAATTACCAATAGTAACACCAGCCCCAGCTGTACGAACACGACCAGGGTGCTCTGGTCGCCCAAGGGCAGTATTCAATATATCTTGACGACCTTCAGGAATAAAAGAACATTGTGATGTTTGCTCCTCCAACACATTCTACAATAAACAAACTTTGTTTATAATATATCCTACAATAAAAAATTCTACAACAAATCTTAAGATAGGTAAAAATATTTTTCATAAAAAAAATACTTATAATTTTTCTGCAATTTGGTTAGCAGACTCACCCAAGCTTTTTGTGCGAGCCATGTTCCATAACCTATGGCATGGAGGAGGAGGTGGAGGATCAATCACTACATCCTCACTAGCATCGGATTGTATTGCTTCTGCCTTAAGTCTCCTAATTTCACTTTTCATAAAATTCCTCACAAGAAGCTCATAATGATGGAGCCTTCATAGAAAAAGCTCCATGATGCTTGAATACCTCTCCATGGTTCCTTGTTGATTGATGCAAGGAGAAGAAGTAAGAGTGGAGAAGCAAGTGTAGCCTAGCTTGTTCATCCAATTTCGGATAGAATAATGCTAAGCCTAACTCTACAAAGAGAGAATCTCAAGTAGAGAAGGAGAAAGGTTCTCCTAGAGTGACTTCAGTGGGAGAGAAATTTCAATGAAATGAATTCTCATATATTGCCAAAGTGAGTACAAGTCCAGCCATAGCGAATTTATAGGGATAGGAAGGGTGGTGAACAAGTTAGGCTTAACCCAAGGTTAAGTTAAACCATGGTATGGTTTAACTAACCTTAGGCGCCAAAATTTGAATGTTTGAATTCAAATTTTGGTGCCAAGACCGGTCACCCCCATGTGCCTCCTAATTTGCATGTGATTTAGCATGCATTTAGGAGTAATTTCGGTCACCCCATGTGCATGAGTGCACATGGCCGAAATGCCTTCTAAATGTAATACTAATTACATGCAAATTGAAATGCACATGACAACCTAAATTAACCCTAAATTCAAATGGAAATGAAATGAAATTCCTAATCTAGGTGGCCAAAATACAAGGCCTAAAATACAATACAAGCCCAATGGGCCCAAACCTAATCTACATGGGCTTGAGTTAAAGCCCAACTAAAAAGTACTATGGGCTTCTCTTGAGCATTGGCCCATTCTTCATGCATCCTTTTGGCCATAGCCCTAGTAGTTGGGCCCTTGGCCCATGGGCCTCCATCATCCCCTCCCTCTTGAAGAGGATTTAACCTCAAATCCAAAGAATCTTCCTCTTGATCAACAAGTCCTGTAAAAAGAGATAAATCAGATATATTGAAACTAGGACTAACCTCATACTCAGAGGGAAGATCTAGGACATAGGCATTATTATTGATGCACTTAAGGACTCGAAAGGGTCCATCTCCTCTAAGACTAAGTTTAGACTTTCTTGTGGAAGGAAATCTATCCTTCCTAAGGTGTAGCCAAATCCAGTCTCCTTCATTGAAGACAACTCCCTTTCTACCCTTATTATTGAATTTTGTGTATTTTTCAATTTGGGATTGTATATGATTTCTAACCCTCTGATGCAAGCTCTTCACAAATTCAGCCCTAGATGTTCCTTCTTTATGAATAAAAGAAGCAACATCAGGTAGGGGTAATAAGTCTAAAAGGGTAAGAGGATTGAAACCATAAACAATCTCAAAAGGAGACATCTTAGTGGTTTTATGAACCACCCTGTTATAGGCAAACTCCACATGAGGGAGATAGTCATCCCATGACTTTTTATTGCCTTTGAGGATTGCCCTCAACATAGCTCCAAGAGACCTATTGACTACCTCAGTTTTCCCATCAGTTTGTGGGTGACATGTGGTAGAAAAT